TAAATAAGTTCCTTGTTCGCGGCTGTTTACTATTGGAGAGTTTCCTGCAGTTCTCTAACGATCCGTGAATTTCTTTCGCACTGTTCAATGACTGGCTCTGATCGAAGTGGCTTTTCGTGTTCTCTCAAATCCGCTGTGTCCAGGGGGAGAGTAATCCTTAAGATGAAGTCACTGGTAGTAAATCAGAGCGGAAGAAACGTTAATTAAGATACTGAGAAGCACCGCCTACATTTCATTTAAATTATTATGTTTCACCAGCAGTGCAAAATTAACAATCCAACATAATACCGAATCCGGAACCCATCTTGCAGAACGTGTCGTCTTTGCCATGGATAGTCACTCGCGAATAAATACCCATGCAATTTTAAACCCTATGTGGGCCATTGATCGACCCATCTGACATGCACGGACATACTACTGCCAGTGAATACGAACACGCTTTACTATGACCCCAATTGTGGTTGATTGTGACTCCTCGGTCTGTGCGTAATTCAATGCTTACCTCAGATTGCGTGTGAACTCCCCATGAGAAAAACGCAAACCTTCTTTTAAGTTCACTTCATTCACGTACGGAGCGCTAGTATTTCTGATGTGAAAAAAACGGGTTAATTAATATCGTGTGCATAACTGCTGAATTACTCAATACTATAAACCAACGGCAATATTGCATTCCTTCACACCATCAAAAGGGTCAACCCCTACCCCAGGTTGATGTTCTCAAAGCACACTTCAGACGACGCGGACCGTTACGCGTTTTTGCGTGAACGCGCCTCAGAATCAACCATCGCGGAATCGTCACTTAACTTTCTTTCTTCCAAATGACCTGAACAAACAAACAACCAAGAAATACAATGAAGAAAAAACGCAATGCAGGTCATATATCGAACACAAACACACTTGTTTTTCTGATAAAAAACAGGAAATATTTAACATAACAAAATATTTAAGGCATTAAAGAAACAAGTTCGAACAAACGATCCTGACGCGACGTAATGACTTTGACATAGAGAATCTTCAAAATGTACTATCGATGTGTTCTTTTTTTTCTCTATCACAAACCACCGTCAAAGAAACTAATTGCCGATGATAAAATGGACTCTAGAAAAAAGTGACCTTCGATGTTGTCGTGCCAGAAGGCAAGTGCATTCCCACCTGAATTGCAGAGGGAATTAGAAACACGCGGAAAAATTGTCGAACTTATAGCACTTCACTGTTTTATCTGATCGGAACTCATCGCCATAACGTTGATTGATTTGGCCATTATGTGACCACTAATTGCTGATGTTTCTGTTTGTTGTTTTGGCTGTGGTGACCATGATCATGGTGGTGGTGGTGGTGGTGGTGGTGGTGGTGGTGGTGGTGGTGGTGGTGGTGGTGGTGGTGGTGGTGGTGGTGGTG